AACTTGAGACCATCTTTGACCATTTTTTGAGGGTGAAAAGCAGGGACCACTTGAGCCTTCCTAGGTCTGAAGCTCCCAGTGAGGGCCCTAATTATTTGCACCAGATCAGTAACAGAGGAATGTACCCCATCTTCTCTAAGTTCTTGGTGTGACCTTTCCACTGCCAGTCTGACCAACACTGAGGCTGGCTAACAGGCAGCATCTGAAGGGATTCCTGCTCCCACCCCCTGAGTGTGGCTCACTTGATGTCTTCTGATTCAGCACCATAGCAGCTCTCACAGCGATCAGGATCCAGGGACTCTGGGTCAAACACCGTCACCTCGACTTTCCCAAGCTCTAAGGGAAGGGCAAGGGCACAGGCATCAACTGGGGGCACAGATAAGTGGTATCTCTAGCCCTAGTTCCTGCACAGGTCCCTGGCCATCAGGTAGGGGACCTTGAAGTTAAAACAGAAGCTAACATTTACACAGTATGTAGTACTATGGGTCAGGCATTAAGCACCTCTATATATCTGTATGTGTTAAGTCTTTTAATAAAAATTAACAGAAGGCTGGGCAAGGTGGTCCATGCCTGTAATCCTAGCACTCTGGGAAGCCAAGGCAGGAGGACTGTAAGTTCAAGCTCAGCCTGGGCAACTGAGTGACTTAGTAAGACCTCGTCTTTAAAGAAAAAAAGGGCTGAGATATTGTTCAATTCCCAGTAATACACACACACACACACACACACACACACACACACACGCACGCATATTAACAGTAAATACTAAACAGTAGCTAGGTATAGATCACTGTACTTCACATACACTGATACACTGTCTCATTTCATCCCCACAGTGACTCTATGAGGATGGACCTAAAGCTGAATAGTAACACACAGTGCTTGGTACAGGAAGCTGCTTAGAGAAACAAAAGGAGGCTAAAAGTTACTTTATACATATAGATGCTCCTTGGCCAGGGAATTTAGCTCAGTGGTTCCGCCACCTGACCCGCAAGTGCAAGGACCCGATCCCCGGCACCAAAAAAAACCCAAAGAACATACAGATGCTCCTCAACTTATGGTGGGGTTGGGGTTAAATACTGATAAACCATTGTAAGTTAAAAATGCATTTACTACATCTAACCTACACCATAGCTTAGCCTATCCTGCCTTAAACATGCTCAGATGACTTAAATTAGCCTGAAGTTGGGCAAAACTACCTAACACAAAGCCTAAAATTTTTAATAAAATCCTCGTTATTTAGTGAATACTGTATTAAAAGTGAAGAACAGAATAGCTGTATGGATATACTTTTGCACCATCATCTAGTCAAAAAATCTTAGGCCAGACAACTATAACTAGGGGATCTGCTTTTTTTTATTTGATCCTTTAATCCATGTGATAAGGTACTACTGTTTATCATCACTTTACAGTTGAGGCTCACAGACTGCAAGAGACAAAAACAGACCTTGAGATCTAAATTATTAACCTTGAACCACTTGCATTCCAAAGGGATGAATACTGAGGGCTGAATGCAGCCAATGGGCCGGGGAGGCAAATACTCAGGAAGCCTGGGTTTATCTAAAGGAGTTCGACCAAGGCAAAAGCACATAAAGCCCATCCTCAAGCTTCTATTACTCAAACTACAATAAAAAGAATGAAAGCCATGTAAAGTACCCAACTCAATATATAAAGGCAACGTTAGAAACATGTGCTCTGTTTTTGTTTTTCCCTGAATACCAGGGATTGAATCAAGGGCTTTGTGTATTCTAGGGAATTACTGTACCACTGACCTACATCTTTAGCCTTTTGAGACAGGGTATCCTTAAATTGCCCAGGCTGGGCTGGAACTTTTGATCATTCTGGCTCAGAATCCTGAGTAGCTGGGATTACAGGAGCATGCCACCATGGCTGGCTCCACTCCTTTTTTTTCCCCCAGAACCAGGGATCGAATTCTGGACCTTGTGCTTGCAAGGCAGGTGCAGTGCCACTGAGCTAAATCTCTGGCCCCTTTGTTTTTTTGAGACAGGGTCTTGCTATGTAGTTAAGGCTGCCCTTGAATTCACTATACAGACCAGGCTGGCCTGGAACTTACAGAGCTCCTCCTGTCTCAGCGTCCCAAGTGCTAGGATTACAGGTGTATCCCACAATGCCCAGCCTCTGATTCTTAATAGTTGGGTACCCTGGACAAGTGAGTTGATTTCTCTAGTCTTTAATATGTCAATGAGCCTGCCATAGTCCCCTTGCCAGAAGCTAAGAGTTGGGCACATCCAGCTCTAGGATCTGAGACCCAGCCCCCTGCCCTGGTTACCATGCCGCTCAGCCTCTGAGCTCACGGGGATGCCATCCTTGTCTAGCCGTTTCTTGAACAGGTTGTGTTCCACATCCAGCTGCTGCTCTCCAGCCACATCCATGGCATCGATGCTCAAATCTGAAAGCAGGAAATCAAGTTTAAATGCTAGGCCCCTAGCTCGTAGAGGTCTAGATTTTGGAGGAAAAGAACCTGTCCTGGGGCATGACAGAGGCCAGGACTGGATTAGGGGAAGGAGGTTGTCCTGGGTTCCAGTCCTGAATCTAAGGCTGGATGTGAGAATCTGGAAGGCTACCTGGAAACCCTGGGGTTTCCAACTCCCACCCTTCCTGAGATACTCACAGGCACAAGGCATGTGCGGGAAAAGAACATCGATGTTGATCTTCAGTTTATCTCCCCGAGACTTGTCCACGTAGAGTTCAGGATGCACCTGGGGCAGCGCTACGTCAGTCAGATTGGGCCCCATGCCTCTCCTTCCCCACTCCCACCGCGAAGGTCCTACCTCAGAATGCCTCCCCCCCAAGTGCTAGGCCGCGCCACTCACCTCAGTGGTGAGGTAATACTGCAGCTCCGACAGGAACAGTAGCAGCATGAGAAGGCCACTGACGATGGTCACTGCCAGGCGGGGAGCGAGGGTCAGAATGGTCTCTGTTCCACTCTCTCAGACACCAGCAGGCCGTCCAGAGTCCAGGCGACCGGGCCAAGCTCTAGGACACCCCCCTCCCCGCAACCCCAGCCCTGCCGCGGCCTACCCGTGGCGCCCCCGCAGGTCTTGACCCGGAAGTCCTCCAGAGTCTTGGGGTAGGCATCGAACTGTTTGAGCTTCCCCAGCGCCTCCATGGGGACCGGCCGGAAAGGTGATGCCAGCCGGCCCACCCGGGCAGCCTCTTGTTTCCGGCCGGGAGCCGGAGTCACGCCCTTTGCTTTCCTCACGCATGCGCAGCAATTCACAAGCCTGGCCCCACCCTCACCACAATCCGACAGACTGCTCCGCCCACCAATGGTGTCACGCCCCCTTGTGCTGGAGTTGCGTCTGCCCGCTGCGGTGCTGGCTCGGTGGTCTCTGAATAGTACTGCGTGGATTAAGGTCCTGGGAGGAGGTCTCTGTCGGCTAGAAATACTGTAGCAGTTCCGGCCTTCGGTAGCCTTGTGCTAGGAACCGTGTCAAGTGTTTCACTTCAGACATTTGCATCTCTTAGAACAGTGATTTTCAGGGTCCCTGCAATAACCAGCAGCGTCATTATCACTTTGGAATTGGTTAGAAATGCAAACAAGTGGTGCTCATATACTGAATCAGCAAGTCTAGGAGTGGCGCCGTGGTGATTCTGATGCTGTTAAGGGGTGAGAATCTCTGCCCTGCCCTGGAAAGTGGGTGTTAGCTTCATTTCCCAAAGAGCAAACTGATTAATAGCAGGATCTTATTCCAATCCAGTTCTTCTAGACCTCAAAATACTCTGGGAACCAGGGCTTTAGGGTTAGTTTTACTCAAACAGCGTCCCAGTGGTTCTGAGTGATGCTTTCTGGGTTGCCCTAAATTGTTTTCTAGACCCTGGGCTTCTCACTTGTGTGTGCCACTCCTCCAGGCCTAAAGTGTGTGGAGCTTAAGCTCTCCACCCTCACTTTGCATTGCATCCCATTGTCTGGGGAGGAACAGCTCCCACAGTAATACAACCAATATGTGCCCCCCAAAGTTTCATTTTTCCAGAGAGGGGTTGGGGGAGGTGATTGGATCATGGAGGTGCTATATGCAAGAGTGGATTGATCCACTGATGAGTTCACAGTGGAATGTGCTATGAGGATTTCCTGTTGGAAGAGGTGCGTCACAGCGGTCTTGCCTTTGAAGTCTCTCTCTCTCTCTCTCTCTCTCTCTCTCTCCCTCCCTCCCTCTCTCTCTCTCTTTCCCTGGTCTCTCTGTTCCTGGCTGCCATGAGTTGAGTAGCTTTCCTCCGCCCTACCCTTTCATCATATTTCTGCCTTGTAACCAACCAACGATGGACTGAACCCTCTGAAACTATGAGCCAAAATTAACCTCTCCTCCTTAAATTGTGTATGTCAGATATTTTGTCCCAGTAATGAGAAGGTTGATTAATACAGAGAAGATGTATAGGAATAAGAAACAAATGGATTTGGATATCATAGGAGAGGGGGGATAATACATGGGTTTTGGCTTCAGTAACCAGGTACCTTGGTCCATTTTCTGTTACTATAACAATATCTGCGACTGGGTAATTTATAAAGGCTCATGGTTCTGAGGGTAGAAAGTCCAAGATTAGGCAGCTGTACTCTGTGAGGGTTTTGTGCTGCTTCATAACACTGCAGAAGTTAGAAGCAGAAAGAGAACTGTGTGTACAAGAAAGACTAAGGAGCTAAACTCCTACAGTAATTAGCCCATTCCTGTTCGGCTCATGAGGGCTATGTCACCCTGACCAAAAACCTCCCACCAGGCCCCACCTCCCAACACTGTAGCACTGAGGAATGAATGTTCCAACCCATGAATTTTGGGGTGCATAAGCCTTAGCACTGGGGGAATGGGAGACTATTTAGAGATAGGAACATCTTGGGAAGGGATTGGTTTATAAGGAAAAATTGAGTTCAGCTTCAAGCTTCTGGTCAGATGTCTCTGAGACATCAATGTGGAAGTCCACTTAAAGAAGAGAGACAAGGCAGGACCCTGTCTCCATGGATCTTGCATTCAGCGTAGGCCATTTGGGCATTAGAGACAGGTCAGGGTGGTGACTTTCCAGGTAGGCTACACAAAGGAGGTCACAATGTGTACTTTATGATGGGCTCTGTAACACATCTGGGATGATACTGAGATAATCCTTCACATATGGGTCCCATATGTTGGGACCCAACATGTGCTGTCTTTCTGCCCTGGCATCTTTTTGTTGTTCATTATGAGCTTCTTCAGTTAAGCACCCCATATTCAGAGCCAGTTTTTTAAAGCTCTATACTTTACTTTTTTGTTATTCTAACTAAAGTTTTGAGGGTCTCCTCTTGAGTGATATAGGAATTGTCTCCCCCAGTATCTTCCATCTCAGCCCAGTCAGCATGCTTTTTGGGCATGAGCAAAAAGGGCGGCAGGGTATAAGAGACTGGAGGGATGTGGAGCATAGAGGGTTGGGGAGCTGTGGAGGACAACAGGACAAAAGGAAGCTGGTGCCTTCTGTGGCCTCAGCCACACAACCTTCCAGGTAGAGAAGCCAGTCTGCTGCCTGCCACATGAGCCATTGCCTGAGCCAGACATGAAGCACTGGTGGAAGATTTTTGTCCTGTGGCTCTTTGGGGAGCCCATCTTGTGGCTGATGGCCTCCTACCTGGATCTGACCCCTGAATCAGCACGCCAAGAAAAACAGATGTACTTGGTCCCAAGGCATCACTACTACAGTTTGTTCAAATTTGGGTTATATGGCTGTCCTTCTGTAACCTGCAACTGCTCCTCCAGTAACCACAGAGTTGGAGAATGAAACTGGTTTGGAGAATGCCAGGGGAAGACTGGAGCATACTTGCTGAGAACAAAAGTTCCCTGGCGGCTGGTCAGTGGTCAGCAGGGTCAGTGGTCCCTGCACAACTCCCTTTCCTCTCCACACCTAGCCCTTCCCTGTTTTCTGGCTGAAACCCCTGCCCTTAGACTGGCTGAGTGCTTCTCCCCTCTTCTGCCTCAATCCCTCATCTCTGGCTGCAGGTCTCACCCACTCAATCCTGCTTCCTTCCACTGGGAGCTGATACCTGGGCCCCGCCCTCAGACTCTTTCTCCAGCTGTTATAAGTACAAGAACTCAGCAAGAGAGCTTGGAAAAGTGTGGAAGAAGATGTTGAAAGTGATTCTCAGGCCCTTGGTGCACCATTTTGATTTCTACTTGTGTGACTTGTGTGGTGTTGAGGAACTCACAAATCCCGCAGGGCTCTGGCCTCAGTGACATCAATCAACACCACATGGTCTTCAGGTAGGTGCTGAGGAGAGGGAAGCACAGCAAAGCATAGGCTTGCCCTTGGTTCTGTTCATTTACTCTCCTTCCCAGAATGAACTAGGTCTCTGCCCAGGGCTTTGAGACACCTATGGGGAACCAAACCACAGGACTCTTCCTTTGTCCCAAGAATGCCAGTGACCAAGGCTCCTGGATGCAGCAGCTGCTTCAGCTTTCTAATCTGGCGTGAACTTCAGATGCTCTGAGTGACAAGGTGATGGAAGAATTGTTCCTAGATATTCTGTGAGGGACTGAGGGGAGGTCACTTCAGAGGAAGACACCAGGTGCTCCAGGAAGTCTATGGTGGCTTAGTGAGGGCACCTGATGGACTCTTCCAGGTCTCTAGAGCTTTGTAAAACTTTGCCACCTCTCATTCTTTCTTAGGTTTTGGAAAATGATTCAGTTCTCTAGAGGAGTAAGAGACACTGTAGTGAAAATGAGGTGAGGGGACAAGAAAGGAGAAAGATGTGGTCTTAGTCCAGCCCTTTACCCTTCGGGTACAACCAGGCTAACTGGCTGGATAACCAGGATCAGTATTTGTCCTCATGGCTCTGTTCTGCACCTTGCACACATGTGCCCAGGCAGGAAAGTCTCTTGTACTTTCCCCACTTAAAACTTCTATTTTCAATGCCTTCAGCATAGAATCTAAAGTTTTCTGTCCAACATTCTGCCCCTTTGCTTGCCTCCTCTCTCTCAGACTCCCACCTGGGCTTCTTGGAGTTCCCCAAGTACAAAAGCTACCCCATACTTCATTACAGGCTGCTTCCTCTGATTGGAATGCCCTTCTCCTATCTCCTTGGAAGAATCTTCTTCCTCCATTGTGATGGGGAGCAGCTAGCTGATGCTCTGTTAGGGACTCCAAGGTAACTAAGAATTTATCCTACCATGTCCAGAGTCTCTGTTCCCTGGAGAGGCTGAGCTCCATTCTCCCCCCAGCTCCTGAGGCACCCTGCCACACTAGGTGTCAAATGAGGGGACATGGAGTAAGACAGGATTCAGCCTGCTGACACACACATCCTTCTTTCATCTGCCAGGCCACCCTGGATGGATCAGGACAGCAGAGAAAGTGATCCCATTACTGAATGATAATCAGACCAATCCCCCCGCCCCATCCTATCTGTGTGGAGGACAGAAGCACAAATGGAAGTTGCCTGTCACAAGCTCACCAGCCACAGGTGATGCCCACATGAGGCCCCACCAGTTCTAGTCTTTAACCCTGAATGCTGATGAGCGTTAGGATTACAGCAGCAGCAGCAGAGGCAACAGGTTTGCACAGACTTTCAGAGGTAAAGGGCAAGAGGAAATCGTATGAAGACCAATATAAAATCCTGGCCTGATTCTCTTACCTGGAATCACAATATCTGGGAAGGAAGGGCCAGGCCTTGGGGCTATGATTGTGGTAACTTCTCTGCCTGATCCCCTTGGTCATGCAGGAGGTGCAAATTTGGACCCAACTCCATGCAAAGTGTGAATTGACTTTAAGTTGGATTGAGTTTCACCCTTGTGGGAGGCTGGGATTTTTTTGTTTTCTTGTGGTTTTTTTGCTCACCTTTCCACTGAAGATCCAGGATTTTGAAGCTCTCAGTTTGTTTAGGAATCTCAGTTCCAATTCTCTGCCTCCCCTGTGCTTAAGGTCTTCTGCTCACATAAACATTAAAACTTCTAAATTTCTGGACCATTTTAAAATTCTTTTTAAATTCTAGAATCTGGAGGCTTTCATTTTTATCTTTCAATATTTGCTCTGCATTTAAGATAAATTTTATTAAAATAATACACAGCGTATATTTATAAATTTTCCACTTAATGTAAGAAGAATATATAAAACACTAGGAATTCTTAGGAATTGCTCCCAGGGAAGAGACTGGTAGTGGGGAACAGGATATGGATGAATACTTTATTTTCATTTACTTTTTGTACTTTTGGATTATGTGTCTCAATCCCACATTTACATTCAAAACCAAAAACAATTTAAATGATTCTTAATATTCTGTTTTGTTTGGCCCTGGGGCACATACCTGTAATACTAGTTCTTGGGAGGCTGAGGCAGAAGGATTCCTGGGCTACATAGTGAGTTTGAGGCCAGCCTGAACTATGTAGCAAGACCCTGTCTCAAATAAAGAAACAAACAAACAAACCAAAAAAACCACAATAAATAAATGAATAAAAAATAAATAAATTCTGTTTTGTCCAGAAGTTCTGGGCATTTGTAGTAGGAATTTTCAGGTTATCTTTTAATTCATCATTTTGCTGGAACTGGGGCCCAAATGAAGTCTTTATAACCATCCTGTAGTTTCAAGAGGTGGCTGCTTCTGGGTGAGGCCAGGATATGATCCTGTAGTTTAAAGAGGTGGCTGCTTCTAGGTGAGGCCAGGATATGAAAAGCCTCCTTGCCTTATTTCTTCCACTGAATGGCAACCTCGGTGGAGGATTTGGCTATGGGTCACCATGAGCAAGAAGGGAAACTCAGGTCTAGAATAAGTGATTTTTTTCAGTAAGGACAAATGGCTGCCATTGAGTAGCTGGTCCTTATCAGGACTCCTCTGGGGGAGGTGCTTTGTTGGGGAATTTGGGAATCAGACTCACCCTTGCCCTAGATGGATGAGGAACACCTCTCTCCACTGGGGAAAAACTTGGGTATGTTGCTTTGAATCTTTTTTTTCAGTTTTAAATAATATCTGTTGGTTCTTAGTATGGAAGCTAAGCATATAAGTTCTCCTATAACCAGTGATGGCAAACCTTTTAGAGCTTTCAATGATACAAAAAGCCCATTCTTCACCACCATTCTTCCCCTCAGTTATCCTCTTACTAGCCTTCAAAAATTACCGTTTTGATTATTATGACTTGGAAAACATTGCTTAGTTTCTTTCCTAAATTTTAAGAAAGTGGCAAATCTCCTCAAAATGATCAAGCATATAAAATTAATCAGTTGCATTATTTTCAGAAAAAGGAGGGGATTATTCAGTACATGGAACTGAATTTTTTTGTTGTTATTGTTTTGGGACAGGATCTCACTATGTAGGCCAAGCTGGTCTTGAACTGGCAGTGACCTCCTGCCTCAGGCTTCCATGTATTGGGATTACAGGCATGTATCACCATGCCCAGCCAGTACATGGAACTAAAAAAAAATTTTTTTCTATATGAAAAAAGATGAAATTGATCCCTACCAAGTGGGTTAAAGACTAAACTGTCAAAACCAAAACAGTCCGCCACCTGCTTCACAAGCACAAGGTCCCAAGTTCAATCGCCAGTACCAAAACAAAACAAAACAAAAAACCACTAAATTCTTAGGGAAAAAAACTTGGAAACTTAAGTAAAAAATGTTTAGATCTTGGGGTGGGAAAAATTGCTTAAACATGACACAAAAAGAATTGAATGTAAAATAAAAGATTGAAAGATTGATAAATTTAACAATATTAAATATAAGAATTTAAGCTGAAGGAAAGAGAGCCTCTTTACTAAATGATGCTGAGGAGCCAGGCATGGTGGCTCACACCTGTAATTAAAATAATACTGAGATTCCATCTTACTCCAGAGAGAATAGTTATCATCAAGAAATCAGATAACAACAAATGCTGGTGAGGCTGCAGTGGGTTGTGTTGTGGGGGAAACCCCCCCTTCTACGTCTTGGTGGGAATGTAAACTGGTATAACCATTATGGAAATCAGCATGGAGATTCCTCAAAAAACTAAACCAAGAAATTCCATTTGGCCCACTATTCCCCTCCAAGGTATCTTCCCAAAAGAATTAAAGTCATCATATTATAGTGACACATGCATACTCATGTTTATAGCAGCAGAATTCACAATAGCTAAATGTGGGAAGCATCCTACACATTCATCAACAAATGAATGGATAAAGAAAATATGGTATTTATACACAATGGAGTACTACTCTGCCATAAAGAAGGATAAACATTAGTGTTCAATTTTCCCTGCACTGTTTGTTAAAGAGGCTGTCTTTCTTCCAGTGTATGTCTTTTGCCCCTTTGTCAAAAATCAAATAGCTCAATATGCCTGAGGTTGTTTCTACTGCCTCTGTTCTGTTCCATTGATTCACATGCCTGTTTTTGTGCCAGTGCCATGCTGTTTTAATCACAGTAGCTTTGTAGTGTAACTTCAAACCTGGGATTGTGACCCCTCCTGTTTGCTTTTATGTAGGATTGCTTTTGCTATTCTGGGTCTCTTCTTGTTCCATGTTAATTTTAGGGTTGACTTCTCTATATCTATAAGAAACGCTGTTGTTATTTTGACTGAGACTGTTAAATCTGTATGTCAGTTTTGGAAGTATAGCCATTCTGATTAAATTGGTTCCACCTATCCAGGAACAGAAGATATCTTTCCATTTTTTCATATTCTTCTCTATTTCCTTTTTCAGAGTGATATAATTTTCATTCATGAAGTTCTTCACATCCTTTGTGAGGTTAATTCCCAAGTTTTTCTTGATGCTGTTGTGAATGGTATCATTCTCCTAATTTCTTTCCCAGTGAGTTTGTTATTAGTGTATAGGGACACTACAGATTTTTCTGTGTTTATTTGGCATCCTGTTATATTGCTGAATTTGGTCATTAATTCTAAGAGTGTTTTTATGGAATTTTTGGGGTCTTGTAAGTAGAGGATCCTGTTATCTGCAAATAATCAATGGGTCAGAAGTAATTAAGGAAGGAATAAGACATTTCCTAGAATTAAATGATAATGCCAGTACAACACACCAGAATTTAAGGGACACAATGAAAGCAGTCCTATGAGGATGTTGATAGCTGTGAATGCCTGCATCAGAAAAACAGAACAAGCCCAAATAACCTAATGATGCATCTCAAGGACCTAGAGATAATAACAATCCAAACCCAGAGCTTGTACAGGAAGGAAATTATAATGATCAGAGCAGAAATCAGTGAAATTGAGACTAAAAAAAATACAAAGATTCAGTGAATCAGAGAGCCAATTCTTTGAAAGAATAAACAAAATAGACAAACCCTTAGCTAATCTTAACCAAAAAAGGAAAGACACAAGTCAATTAGAAAGGGAAAAGGTGAAATCACAACAGATATTGCTGAAATCCAGAAAATTATTAGCAACTACTTCACAAACCTATATGCCAAAAAATTGGAGAACTCAGAAGAAATGGAGAGATCCCTAGATAACATATTAATTATCAAAACTGTACCAAGAAGACTTAAAAACTTGAATAATTCAATAATAGTCAATGAAATTGAAGCAGTAAGGAAAAACCAACCAACTCAGAAAAGCCCAGGACCTGATGGTTTCACTAGCAAATTCTACAAGAACTTCCAGGAAGGGCCAGGATTTAGCTCAGTGGCATTGCACCTGCCTTGCAAGCGAAAGGTCCTGAGTTCAATCCTTGGTAACAAAAAAAAGAACTTCAGAAAAGATCAAACACCAATAATCCTCAAGCTCCTTAATGAAATCAAGAGAGTGGAGTAATCCCAAAATCATTCTTGCAAACTAGCAGTACCCCAATCCCAAATCCAGACATGGATCCAATCAAAAAAGAGGACTATAGGGCCGGGGATTTAGCTCAGTGGTTCCAGCGCCTGCCTGGCAAGTGGAAGGACCCGAGTTTGATCCCTGGTACCAAAAAAAAAAGAGGACTATAGGCCAGTCTTTCTTTCTTTCTTTTTTTTTGGTACCAGGGATCAAACTCGGGACCTTGCACTTTCGAGGCAGGCAGTGAAACCACTGAGCTAAATCCCTGGCCCAGGCTGATCTTTATAATAAACATAGATGCTAAAAATCCTCAGCAAGATCCTGGCAAACAGAATGCAACAAATCATTGAAAAGATCATATATCATGGCCAAGAAGGCTTCATCCCAGGAATGAAAAGATGGTTCAACATATGCAAATCAATAAATGTAATTCATCACATAAATAGAAGCAAGGACAAAAATCCATGATCATCTCAATAGACACAGAAAAGGCCTTTGACAAAATCCAACATCCATTCATGATTTTTTAAAAAACCCTGAACAGGGCTGGGGATTTAGCTCAGTGGTTTCACCGCCTGCTGCGCAAGCACAAGGACCCGAGTTCGATCCCTGGTTCAAAAAAAAACCCAAAAAAACAAACGGGGCTGGGGATTTAGCTCAGAGGCACTGCGCCTGCCTCACAAGTGCAAGGTCCTGAATTCGATCCCCAGTACTGCAAAAAAAAAAAAAAAAAAACCCTGAAGAGGGGCCAGGGATTAGCTCAATGGTTCTGCCGCCTGCCTCAAAAGTGCAGGGACTCGGACGGGGGATTTAGCTCAGTGGTTCCGGTGCCTGGCTCATAACCACAAGGTCTGAAGTTCGATCCCCAGTACGAAAAAAAAAAAAAAAGTGCAGGGACCCAAGTTTGACCCCTGGTACCAAAAAATAAAAAATTAATTAATTAATTAATTTTAAAACCCTGAAGAAAGTGGGTATAGAAGGATATGATATGATAAAAGCCATTTATGACCCACTTATGGCCAACATCATATAAAAAGTGGAAAACCTGAAAGTTTTCTCTGTAAAATCAGGAATAAAACAAGGATGTGCAATATCACCACTCCTGTTCAACATAGTCCTCAAAACATTAGCCAGAGCAGTCAGGGAAGAGAAAGAAATAAAAGAGT